ACCACGACTCCATTGTTTGGACAACCAACAATATTATTAACTCTAACAGTCCTGAGCCTATAATTCCTTTCTTTGGTGCTGCAAGTTAAGTTTAAACTATTTATAAACCTCAGCATTTTTAACGTAAGAAAGATAGGTTTCAAGTGACAAGCATGTATTATACTCATCATCATCATCATCATCATCAACCAGTGCCAGTTATGTGACAGATATCGGCGATCATGGTTTTCCATTCATTCCTTTCCTCGGAGGCTCTAAAAAAATCTACGTTTCCCTGTATTATATACTCACCAAATTTTAATCAAAAGAATTGCGATTTTTGTATGAATTAGATACAGTTGTAGTTCAGTTAAACAGATATTCCTGATTATTAATTGGGCAGGAACACCACATAATGCAGCATCTGCTAGCCAATAGATCTAGATGTGCTGACTTCTAAAAGTTGAAATTGGCCGTTGATTGATTAAGAATATTATTATTGTTTGAAAAATACATGTATACATACTCACTAACACGATATAGATCTTTTATAAGAGATGTATACGTTTGGCTCTGGCTGTCACAATCACAGCCACCCTACTATTTCTGCTTTGTAAGTGTTTCACGGCACTCGCAACTGCGTAAGGCCATATAATGAGAGCTCGGGACACATTAAACATTTTTCATACTGTGCCGAATGTATAGCGTCCCAGCCAACTGACAGAAATATCCAATCAAATGAGATCTTTGGTCGTTGTAAAGGTTTCAGGGGGGGGGCTACAGCAGAACGTCCCGATTCGGCTCAAAACTGTGGATTTCAAGTTGTAGACATTTTTAGTTTTTTCAGTCTCTCTTACAACTATTTCATCGCATAAGAACCCTCTAAAGCCACATTTCTCCCATACCGGGCATGTTTGTCACCACAATTTCGTCATAAAGTCAATCTTCTATTTTTCTTTATCGCCCGTTTTCTCGAAACGTGGTTTTTCTATATACTTCGTAAAATAACTCCACCATTTTTATCCAATCTTCATGAAATTTTCACAAAATGAAGAAAAGATGTGATACTAAAACTTTGTGTGATGAATTTTTGATATATTGAATAGTATTTCGTTGGTGGGGTTTGGAGAGTGGATTTTCATAGATTTTTTGCCAACGTGAATACTACCTGAGGAAAAAAAATTCATAAAAAATGTTCTGGTACGTTTAGAAGAAATCCATCACACAGATTTGTAGATGCATTAAAAACCTAACAATTTATTTCCATAAAAAATAAGTATGGTATTATTTACGTAACTTGTGTCAAGAAAATTCAAACGGCCACCGTATCCATGGAAACGGAACTTTGTTCTCAAATTTGATTTCGGATTTTAAGACTCCTTACTATGTTTGTTATATGTGTGAAATTTGGTAACATTTTATCCCATAATAAGCGAGATAGCCTTCAGCTGTACCC